AGAACTGGCTTCTATAACTAAGGCGGGACTAGAACTCACGGTCTCCTGGTGATTGGCCCAAAGTCACAGAACTGGCTTTCCTCCTAAAGCAGGACTAGAACTCACGGTCTCCTGGTGATTGGCCCAAAGTCACAGAACTGGCTTCTATAACTAAGGCGGGACTAGAACTCACGGTCTCCTGGTGATTGGCCCAAAGTCACAGAACTGGCTTTCCTCCTAAAGCAGGACTAGAACTCACAGTCTCCTGGTGATTGGCCTAAAGTCACCCAGCTGGCTTTCATAACTAAGGTGGGACTAGAACTCATAGTCCCCTGGTGATTGGCCCAAAGTCACAGAACTGGCTTTCCTCCTAAAGCAGGACTAGAACTCACAGTGTCCTGGTGATTGGCCCAAAGTCACCCAGCTGGCTTTCATAACTAAGGCAGGACTAGAACTTACAGTCTCTTGGTGATTGGCCCAAAGTCACAGAACTGGATTTCATGCCTAAGGCGGGACTAGAACTCACAGTCTCCTGGTTTCTAGCGTGATGTCTTAACCACTAGACCAAACTGGCTCTTCTATGATATGAAAAATCTAGAAGGCTGAAGAACGATTCTTTTCTGGTTCTATTTTGGTGATAAAACCAACATTATATCTGTGGAGCAAAGGTGAATGGAAGCCAAATCGGAGAAGACTTACCCTCCACTGGGGTTGGCATGGTAGGAATCCCAGGTTGGGAGTAGCAGAGATACATCTGCTGATCTAGGCTACGAAGGACGTGGAAAGTGGGATGCGTGTGTTGTTGTACAAATAAGTGCCCGGCGTTGACTTGATTAACCACAATAACTTCTACTGTAACTCCATCAGGAAGCATGAGCTGCCACAGAAGGATGAAGAGAGAAGTATTTCCATGCACAAGTTATGGCATTTAATTTCCAAGCTACAGATTATAACAACCCCTTATGGAAATGAGAGCAGAGTTAAGCAACTTGCTACGCTTTGTACTGCGTAGACCACAACACCCTAAGTTAGCATGGTAACTTGGCTCAAGGGGAAGAGATATTGAACATCGTATTAACCACTTCAAAGAGACAAAAGTTGCCCATCCTCCAAATACACTGATCTTGTCAGCTGCCACCTTTTGCTTGCTTGTGCTTCGCTGCAGGAAGGGGGGAATGAAGGGGGAGGATGCTTGCGGAAATGAAAGTAAGTGCTGTATCTCCTCCAGAAGCTCCCTCAAGGTCATCCAGCTGGAAGAAGGAAGGAGCTCCATACAAAACTACGCTTGGAGTGATCATTACGAAAACATCTTGCCTCCGATTGGTTAGCGTGGGATGTGGGCAATGAGAGATAGTTAAGGGAGGGGAAAAGTTGAACTTAAGGATGCTGGCAGGAGATTCTCAGTTCTGGCTTTGCAATATTGCAATGTACTTGGCTTCTAATAAAACTATTACCTTTCTCAACCGATGCAGCTAAGGACCCTTTCTATCTAGAGGTTCCAGTTGTGGCAGGTCTGACAGATCTAATATTTCTCAAAATGAGCAACTTGGAAATGTGCAGACTTCAGTCCTTGGTGCTCTCCGGGTTTGTTTTCTTGCAGACATTTCACTACCTAAGTAGGCAACATCATCACTGCTATGCTGATGATGTTACCTAGTTGGGTTATGAAACATGTACAAGAAAACAACCAGGCTCAGAGAGCACCAAGGACTGAAGTCTGCACATTTCCAAGTTGCTCATTTTGAGAAATATTAGATCTGTCAGACCTGCCACAACTGGAACCTCTAGAT